GGCCACGCTGAGGCCGCGTCCCACATACAGCAACTAGAAGGATGTGCAACTATGACATACAACTATCTACTGGGGCTTTGGGGAAAAAAAAAGGAGGAGGATTGGCAATAGATGTTAGCTCAGAGTCGGTCTTCCTCAGCAAAAAAAGAGGAGGATTAGCATGGATGTTAGCTCAGGGCTGATCTTCCTCACACACACACAAAAAAAAACTTTTAGAAATGAAAAACACAATAACTGTAAACCCATCAATGGATGGCTTTAACAGAAGCTTCAGGGAAAATTAGTGAACTGGAAGATATGTCAAAAGAAATTATTCAGGCACGTAAATTTAACAACTTAGATGAAATCAAACAATTTCTCAAAAACCATAAAATACCAAAATACACCTGATATGAAGTAGATCATCTGAATAGTCCTATAACTATTTAAGAAATTGAATGTGTAATTAAAACTTCCAAAAAGAAATATCTAGGCCCAGACGGTGGTTTCACTGAAGAATTCTACCAAACATTTCAAGAATTAGCACCATTCTGTACCATCTCTTTCAGAAATCAGAAAAGCAGGGAACACCTCCTAACTTAAAGAAAACTACAGACCAACATCCCATGAACTTAGCCACAAAAATTCTCGATAAAATATTAGCAAATTGAATCCAGCAATAGATAAAAAGAATTACACAACATGGCCAAGTAGGGTTTATTCCAGATATGCAAGGCTGGTTCAACAGTTGGAAATGAATGTATGTAATCCATCATATCAAGAGAGTAGAGACAAAAAATCATGATCATGTTAATTGATGCAGAAAAAGCATTTGACAAAATTCAATATGCATTCATGATAGAAACTGTCAGTAAACCAGGAATAAAGGAAAACTTCCTCAACTTGATAAAGAGCATCTACAAAAACCCTACAGCTAACATCATACTTAATGGTAAAAGACTGAATACTTTCCTCCTAAAATAGGGAACAAGTCAAGGATGTCCACTCCAACTGCTCTTATTCAACATAGAACTGGAAGTCCTAGCCAGCATGGGAAGGCAAAGAAAGGAAACAAAAAGCATACAGATTAGAAAGAAAAAAATAAAACTTCCTATTTGCAGTTGAAACAATTGTCTATGTAAAAAATTGTAAAATTGTAAAAAAATTGTCTATGTAAAAAATCCCAAGGAATCTACAAAAAACCCTCCTAGATTAATAAGGGAGTTCAGCAAGATCCCAGGTTACAAGATCAACACACAAAAGTAATTATCCAGAATGCATCAGAGAGACAAAAAGGATGGAAAAAAGACAGCAGGCAAAAAAATAAAGGATTAGGGGGAGCCTGGTGGCGTAGAGGTTAAGTTCACGTGCTCTGCTTGGGCGGCCCTGCCGGGATATTAGCCCAGGGCCAATCTTCCTCAGCAAAAAGAGGAGGATTGGGAACAGGTGTTAGCTCAGGGCTAATCTTCCTCAAAAATACATACATACATACAGGATTATTATGTTTAATCTGAGTTCCAGAAGGAGAGAGAAAATGAGGCAGAGGCATATCTGAAGAAAAATAGCTGAGAATTTCCCAGAACTGGTGAAAGATATCAATCCACAGATTTCAGAAACTGAAAGATATCCAAGCGAGGAAGAAAAAAAAAATGAAAAAAAAAATCCCATTCGTGATAGTGAAATTGCAGAACCCTGAAAAATAGAGAGAGCTGGGGAAGAAGCAGGGGCCAAGTGAAAACAAAGTTAAGGATGCTGGGCTTAAAGATAAATGCTAATACTTATACATAGTCCCTATTACTTGCCAAGTCCCTACATTAAGCGATTTACTCCTCACAGCAATTTTATTTGGTAGGTACCATTACTACCTATGTTTTATAGATGAGGAAGTTGGGACAATGAAATTTAGCTGCCTGCCCTAGGCGGCACAGCTGATCAACGGTAGAGGCAGGATTTTGAATACGGTAGTTTCGGCTCCAGTTTGCGTCCTTAACCGCTGCACATACTTGTCTCTCGAAAGGGCAATGGGAAGCCATTGAAAGATTTTAACCAGGGGAGAGACACCACGTTTGTTTTCCACAAACAAATCCTCTGGCACCACTGTGGATAATGGATTAAATAGAGCTAACGGTGGAAACAGGAGGCTGTTGGAATAATGTAGCCAACAGTAGGGAGGGCCTGGATGAACGAGGGAGATGGCAGACAAAAGCAAACGGATTTGCGGGCTCTTCTGGAGTCGAGTCCACAGGATTTGGTTTTGCATGGGATTAAGGGGGTGAAGGAGAATGAGGATGATACTCAGGTTTCTGACTTGGGCAATTGGGTGGACAGTGAAAGTCGTTCACTGAGGCGACTTAGGAGGAGGCTAGTTTTGGACACGGTGAATTCGTGGCGTCCGTAAAGCCCAGACGTCCAGCCAGAGGAGAAACACGGCTACGACCAGGAGCAGAGCGCTAACGCCCGAGGCGAGGTGCGCGAGAGCCCGAGGCCGAGAGCGCGGCGCGCGGCTCCGGAAGCCGGGCGCGCAGGCGCAGTGCGGCGCAGGCGCCCCC